AGGAGGGAGCAGGATCCTTGCCTTTCTGAAGCTAACTCTTAGGTGGAACAGTGTAATAAATGATCATCGATTAGGGTAAGTACGACCAAGTAAATAGGCTGGTTGTCACAATGGAGCACAATGGTGGTGGGGGGAATCTCACTTAGGCAAGGTGGTCCGGCAGGGTCTCTGTGGAGGTGACAGGAACCCTGAGATGCAACGGTGTGTTTTTTATCCGGAGCTCGAGAGGGCAGGGACTATATCTTATTTACTTTTTTCCCCTTGGCCACACTGCCTGGTGTGTGGGATCTTAGTTCTCAGACCAGGGATCAAAGCCATGCCCCCTGCAGTGGAAGCACAGAGTCTTAACCACTGGACCACCAGGGAAATCTTGTCTTCCTTACTTTTGAACCTCTAGAGCTTAGAACAGTGGCTGGCACTTATTATGAAAAATTGGTATTATTTTTATGGTGTGTATTCACTGACTGTTTGATGAATAAATAAATGATCTCCTTCCAGCAGTTCCTACTTAAAGTACCATGTACTTAATCACATGAAGACAATTATGTCAAACAAACGTGACAGTCTCATGCCTAGTCTGTCTTTATTTGCTCCTTTCTTGTCGGCCTCTCATTGATTTTTGTCCATATTGCCACTTGATGCCTCAGATGTGTTGAGCACAAACAGGAAAGAACACACACAAACAGACACACACACACACACAGGCATACACACATACACAGACACACACATTTTACCGACCACTTCCATTCCTGCAAATGCTGCAGATTCTACCCGAGAAGCTATTACATGCTCCCAAATAGAGCAAACCTCTCATTAACTATCACATGCCCCCTTAAACGATCGTTGAATAGTGTTTTCTTTTTTATTGCTTTGTGTAGTTTAACGGCACCAATTGCGATTACTTTAGCTTATGATAAACCCCAGATCTATAAAGCTCCTGTTCATTCATTATTTTTCTCTTGCTCCTTCTCAAGCTGTTATTTTTTTGGGGGGGGATGTAGCAAGGAGGGGAGACTGGAGGGAAAATAAAATAAAAAAGATACAGAAATTAACAAGGAAACAAATGAAATAGGGGACCACTTCTTCCTGGGTGACAGACACTCTATTAGATACTGTTAAACAGAACAAATATGCCTCAATGCAGCTCAAGTAGGTCTTGCATATTTATTCTAAATGGCAAATATAATGATCACCATCTTATCTTTAATGGAAGAAGCAGCTAATTGTTCCAATATCTCACTAATTTCAACATCTGGGAGAAAAAAATTATAATTTTTTTCAAACTATTGTACCAAGTGTTCAATTTATAGCAAGGTGTGTAGGGCAGTGTGGACAGAGATGTCTGCTTCTTGATCTATGTCATAGCTGCTATTCCAGTTCAATTATTAATATGTGGAAGTTATAATCATTTTGAGTATTCGTACAAGATAATTATAAACCATAAAACAGCTCCCCATGCTCGCTGATGCTTCTTTGTTATGTGCGGACGTGTTGGGGTTTGAGCATGTGAGCTTTCGAAAGAGAAAAAAATGTGTAATACGGCACTTGGGGTAGCTAGACTGGCTGGAGTGGGAGCAGAGAGACATCTGCCTCCTTTCCAGGCCCCTCCCTCTTCCTCTCCTCATGCCTCTCACCCCTCCGGGGCCAAAGCCCACCCACCTCCAGCATCTCCCCTTCGGCCCCACCAACTCACCCACCTCCTATCCTGTCTCCTCTTGGTTAGCTGAGATTTGTAACTCCTCATACAGGGTGGTTTAACTTTCTTGCCACCCCCTCATCTCCTTGTTTACATAGAAGCAGCAGCAGCTACTGTGTGTGGGCACGAATGTGCACTGGGGCATTGGGGAGAGGCGAGAACCACAGGCAGTGAGGAAGGCAGAGGTGGGGGGCAGGCTGTTCTGTTACTTCCTGGCCATCGCTGATGCCTCTGTTGCCTCCTGCTTGATTCTCAGTTCATCTTTACTAGGGGGAAGGTATAGATTGGGCTAAAGCACCTAGAATCGCTCATTCCCAGCCAAGTGGATCACAATCCGTTGAAAGGAATAACCCATTTTTGTGGCTTGGGTGTGTTTGAAAAGGGGCTCAAAGAGAAGGGGCATTGTTTCAGCATCTTGCTTTTTTTTTTTTTTAACAAGAAAAAACTATTTAAAATGCCATCTGGAAGATAGTGAAAGACAGAGGAGCCTGGAGTGCTGCAGTCCATGGGGTCACACAGAGTCAGACACAACCGAGCGACTGAACAACAAAAAGGATTCCCCTGGTGGTCTAGTGGCTAAGAATCCATCTTCCAATGCAGGGGACATGGATTCCACACCTGTTTGGGGAACTAAGATCCCACATGGACCCTAGAGAAGCCCACGGGCCACAGCAGGAGATCCCGTCTGCGTCAACCAAGGTCCTGTGTGCTGAAGACAAGACCCGGCCCAGCCAAACTAGAGACATAAAGACCTGTTAAAATGCCATCTTATGACCAGTGCCGGGTCGATGCATGAAGCAGGGCACCCAAAGCTGGTGGGACGACCCAGAGGGATGGGGTGGGGAGGGAGAAGGGAGGGGTGCTTAGGATGGGGAGACATAGGTGCACCCGTGGCTGATTCATGTCAGTGCATGGCAAAAACTACCACAGTGTTGTAAAGTAGTTATCTTATAATTAAAATAAATAAATTTTTAAAATGCTGTTTAGCTTAGTTGTTGCACAAAAGTAAGGCTAAGAAGTAGCCTTACTAAGTAGCTAAGAAGCAGCCATTCTTAGAAGTAATCAGATCCTAGTCTTGCTACCAAGTCCTCTTCTAGTCCCCCCAACTTTCTTCCTTCTTTCTTTACTTGAACAATGTCTAAGGAGCTATTAAGGGTGCATTTGCTTTTCTTACCATTTTCCTAAGCTCTGGTTCAGGGTATTGCCACTGTACCTTTCTTTGCAGCAAATGTATTTAAACTTCTTTTAAGAAGACAGGCTTCCCAGGTGGTGCTAGTGGTAAAGGACCCACCTACCAATGCAGGAGACATAAGACATGTGGGTTTGATCCCTGGGTTGGGAAAATCCCCTGGAGGAGGGCATGGCAACCCACTGCAGTATTCTTGCCTGGAGAATCCTATGGACAGAGGAGCCTGGCGGGCTACAGTCCACAGGGTCCCACAGAGTCAGACACCACTGAAGAGGCTTAGCATGCACGCACACAGGCACATAAGAAGAAACACCAGAGCATTCTCTCTCTCTCTCTACCATGGGATGACTCAGTGAGAAGGCTGCTGTTTGCACATCACAAAAGAGCTCTCACTGGAACCTGACCATGCCGGCACTTTGATCTTGGATTTCCAGTCTCTAGAACTGTGAGAATATAAATTTCTGGGTTTAAGCCACTCAGTCTGTGGTATTTTGTTATGGCAGCCTGAGCCACTTACGAAAATTGGGAGGAGTCGAATCATGTTCATCATCCTTTGTGATATGATTCTTTACAGGCCTCAAGATCTGGAGTCAGTATCCTTCTACTGGGCTCAGACACTTGGAACTTGAGCTTTCAAATCCATCCCAGCTCCTGACTCTTTTGGTTCCCCCATTCCCTGGGAGCCTTATTTCAGCTTCTCTAATGAGCATTGCCAGTGAGCAAATGTGTCTATTCAGCACCACGGACAGAGCCATGCTGTCAGTTGCCACAAATTAGAAGTTACTGCCTGGCACTCTCAAGAAGGTGGTGGTGGGAAGGGAGGGCTGGGCTGAGAGAAGAGTCCGGAAGGAACACTGACTGGCAGGATGCAGAAAATGCAGCCTCAATCCCGGCTGTGCTCAGCCATGGGGCTCCTGCAAATAAGGAGGAGCTTCTTGATGCTGTTGCCTTCTTATAGAGGCAGGCAGTGAAATCGGGGAGGTGATACTCTTTGTGTTTAATTGCACTGTCCCAACTGTTGTCAAACTGTTACCATGATGGGTCCTGGCAACAAAGCTCTAGCTGGTGAGGCATTAGCTAGAGCACTCTGGGGAGCACACGGGAGTGTGGGTGTCATGGTCTAGAGGCTGGGAAGACAGCCAGCTGAGGAGTTTAGGAAGAGGGTGCTGGAGCTGAGCTGCGGTCTAAGTTTGGGGCTAGAGCTGGTACAGGTGCGCTGTCTTTTCTATGCCTGGCATGGGAATGAGGCTACAGGGGGCGCTGGGCCTTGGGGAGGGAGGGGTCCGGCTCACGGCAATCTGGGCTGGTGAGAAGCCAGGGCTTCATTTGTCTGACTTTAATGAATAAATGGCATCCCCAGCCATTGTTTATCTACTTTTGAATCCTGACAAACAATCTGTGGCATCTGATGGAGAGGGTTATTAGCCGCATGGAGACAGATGGCTGGGGATGAGGGGATTGGCTCTTTATTACAGCGGGCCCAGAAGTGACAGCCCTCCTCTCACGTCCCAGCCTCCACATCAATGCCAAGACCTTCTCCACCCCGCCACCTCCTGCCTTCTGTGGCCCAGTCAAGCGTCCGAAGAAAGACCCAGTACTAGAGGAAGACAGAATGGCCTGTGAGTAAGAGGGAGAGGTAGGGCTGAAGGCGTTGGAAAAGAGGGCAGGTTTCTGAGTGGAAGTCCTTTGAGAATAAAGAGCCCTGCCTTATTCTTCTTTAGCATCCTCCCAAGTGCCCTGCGAGGTGCCGTTAATTTCAATTAGCATTCAAGAAATATGAATGTTAAGGAGAAAGGCCGTCAGGTCTAGATTAGAAAAGATAATAGAAGCAGATTTAGTTGAGCCAGGTGGTAGGTGAGGGACAAAGGAAAGGGAGGAGAAGGAGGGGAAGGAGGGGACCTAAGGGGAGGAAGGAAGAGAGTGTAGGAAAGAACTGCTCATGAACCAGCACAGTGTTTCTTCCCCACGTTACTGTCCAAACGGCTTCGTGGAAACCAGCCTCATCGGTCTGCTGTCCTTTCTGAGAAGCCCCAGGGTCTTTCTCCTGCTGCCACAGCTGTAGGCAGAGCTTCCTCCCTCCCCATCACCCTGAGAAGGCAGGCTCCCACTGACCTTCATTCATTCTCCGGAACTTGTCCTTGGCCATGTAGCCCAGCACCAGACAGCATCCTCTTTTCTGGAGGCCCAGCTCTGGAAGGAAAGCAGAAGTGGGTGAGCTTGGAACGGGTCAGGGGTCAGTGAAGGTCCTTTTGCAAGAGTTATGAAGCTTGTTGCTCTTATAAAAGGGCTACTTATTCAACAAACATTTAGAAAGCACTTGGTCCAGGCATGATTTTTTTTTTTCAAAACTTTCACCAGGTTTATTTCTAGGATTTTCATAATTTTAAGATGTTGCAAATGTGATTTGTATTTATTTATCAGTGTATAGTTACTTTACAATGTTCTGTTAGTTCGGCTGTATAGCAAAGTAAATCAGCTATATGTATACATATATCCTCTCTCTCTCTCTCTCTCTTTTTTCTTTTTTTTGGATTTCCTTGCCATTTAGGTCACTACAGAACATCGAGCAGAATTCTCTGTGGTATACAGTTGGTTCTCATTAGTTATCTGTTTTATACAGTCCAGGCATAACTTAAGGCCAATAATTTGCTTATTTGATCTTCACAACTACTCTATGAGGTACCACTATGATATACTCTATGATATACCACTGTTATCCCTATTTTTATATTATATCTGCATTTAGGTGGTCTTAGATGAAAGAGCTGGTAGGTGGCAGAACCAAGAGTTTGAACAGAGGCAGCCTGACGGCGGAGTCCACAGTCATAACCTTTACTCTCTAGGTTAATGAGTCCCCAGGCTTGAAAGGGGTATGCCCAGATTACATCGGGACCATGGTGAAGCCAGAGGAGAGGCAGAGTCCAGCCAGTGGTGTTCAGGATGGAACAGCACAACCAGACACAGTGGAGGATTTAGGGGAAGACACAGGGGCCAAGGGGCTTCCCAGGTGGCGCTCGTGGTAAAGAACATGCCGGCCAAAGCAGGAGACATAAGAGAGGCAGGTTCAATCCCTGGGTCGGGAAGATCCTGTGGAGGAGGGCATGGCAACCCACTCCAGTATTCTTGCCTGGAGAATCCCATGGACAGAGGAGCTTGGTGGGCTACAGTTTAGGGGTTCTCGAAGTGTTGGGCATGACTGATGTGACTTAGTACACAGGAGTCAAGGTGTAGGTAGAAGGAGTCTACCTTTTGGGAGAGAGTGAATGTCTGGGGCTGAGGATCCCTGTTCATCCTTACATTTAGGCACAACTCAGCATCGTCATCAGACACTTATGAGCGTAGACTTAGCTTGGAGCACAGGGGTGGGGATGGCTAAGAAACATAAGACATAGACTCTGGTCCACAAGACTTTGATCCAATAGAACAACAAGCTAGAACAACGATTCCAGGTAGCAGATGCAAGAGACAAGTTTTCCCGCACGACGATATTCTGAAAATCAGTGTCCATTGTATGTCAGCCCTGGGCTGGAATACCTCGGTTAACCAGGCGAGATTTCCTCTCCAGTATCTCTCCTTGGCCCCAAAGGCGGCGCAGTGGTAAAGAATCTGCCTTTCTATTCAGGAGACTCAAGAGACATGGGTTCCATCCCTGGATCCAGAAGATCCCCTGGAGTAGGAGATGGCAACCTACTCCGGTATTCTTGCCTAGAGAATCCCATGGACAGAGGAGCCTGGTGGACTACATTCCACGGGGACTGCAAAGAGTCAGACATGACCGAATGACTGAGCGCACACACACACACATCTGTCCTTTACTCCTGATTTGTCATCAGCACTTGTGGGTTCTGAAACAGGTTTCTCTTTGTATTCCCCACAGCCTCTGCATGAGGGAGGCAGGCCAGTTATTACTGTTCACACTATGCAGATGAGAAAACTGAAGTTAAAAAATGTTAAATGACTTCCCATGATTCTTGCAGCCTCCCCACCCCCACCTCTTTGCTTTGAGGTCACACAGATGTGGCAGCCGCCATGAACTGGGAAAACGGATAAGGGGTGTGATTTCCAGAGGCAGGGATGGCGCTGCAGCTTCTCCCAGGCTCGGTCAGCCTCCCGGATGCCTGGCTGCTCCCTCCATCGGTCTCTTAGAGAAGGAGGGGGCCACGGAGGGATACGTCACAACATCTTCTTCCCGACCCTTGGTGATACTCTGAGCCCCGGCTGGTTGGCGACTAGGCTGCCAGAGTGTAGAGAGGCTGGGCTCCTTCTCCTCCAGCCTTCCCCCCACCTCCTGTGGTCCAGGTCCAGCCTCTGGGTGCAGCAGAATGAAAGGGCCGGAGAGACATAGATAAGTCAAGCTCAGGGGCTCCCGCCCCAGAGGAAAACAAAGCATGGTGGGTGGTGGCGGAATGCCATGGCCCAGGGAGGTCGCGGGCTTTGATCTCTTGATTCTTTAAAGGGGTTTATTGACTATCAGTAAAGAGCAGAGAAGCAGATCTGAGCAAGCCTTTTCCAAAGGCACTCACTTCTCTTCCTTTCTCTCCACGCTCGCTCGTCTGAAGGCACAGCCAAAACGCCCTCACTTCAAACAGCCTTACATCTCAGGCGCCCAAATTGACGATGTTAAGTTCCCTCATCCAAGGCCTCGGCCCTTTCTTCAGGGGCTCCTGCTCTGTCGAAAGCCATGCGGATCAAAGCCCCTTTGATGTTTACTTACTATATTTGTGGATCCTTTCTAACAACCACCTTCAAGAGGCAGGAATGCAGCCTGCCAGGAGGAGGGGCTGCGGAAGCTCTAGCTGTGAGGTGGCTCTGAGCCCCAGCAAACAACAGCTTCTAGCCCGGGACCCTATTGAAACCTCAAGATGCTGACGACAGGCAGTTAACCAGCCCGTTATAATTGCACGTGTATTGTTCATCATGAAAATGACACAATTGCTGATGATTCCTATTATATTTTCCACTGACTTCCTATGCTCATCTGAAGTACATCAGCAGCGGCTCCTAATGAGAAAGGGAGCTTGGGTTTGGGTGCTTGCATTGAGCCCAGGAACAAACTCTGGCAGAAGAGTGTGGGCAGAAGACTCGGTGAATTTCAGCCAGTGCTCCTGCAGGGTTTCCTGGGCCATCCCCTCACCTCTCAGGGAAATGGAAGGGCATGGTCCTCCTACAGACTTAGAGACTGGATCACCTGCTGACTGAGCTGACTGTCTCTGCCACCCCAATCCACCCTGTCCTATGTCTCGTAATGTGCCACCAGGGGTATTGCCCAATGAAAGAGTCTGTATATACACACGGTTATTATAAGTAAGACTCTCATGGACCATGTTTGATTTTTGCAAATGAGCAGGAAAAGACTTTTTTTTTAATAAAAAAAAACCTGATTAATAAAAGAAATGGAAGCTGAAGCAATTTCTCAATGTATTTGGCTCATTTAATTTGACACGTGTGGGTTAGTCTTAATTATTTAGGCATCTACATTACAAGGCACTAATAAGCACACTGCAGAAATTTATTAAGTGAGAGAGGGCTCTCTGACTAAGTCTTTACTGAAAGTGGGGAGAAGCTACTGGGATCCTTGCAAGAACGAGCAGGTTGGGGGATTAACTACGTGAGAATGAGCTGGCTATCCATATATGAAAACAGGATGTTCTTGGGAGAGATTTGCAGAGCTAAATTAGAGGTCATTGGTGCTACATGAAGAAGCAGGTCAGGGCCAAGGTGTGATTCCAGGAGAATCTGGAAACACAGGTGTGGTCAAAGTGACCAGAGAGAACCGTGCAGGGAGCAGGAACCAATGGCTTCTGATTGGGAAAACGCCAAAAAGCCAGATCAACCAGGCTATTAGTGGAGAGATGACGGAATGTGATAGGAGAGGTATCATTCACACTGTGAGCTGGGTCAGCCACCAGACGACCAACTTCTTTGTCAGGTGGTGTGGGACCGATGGTGGAGTCAGATCCCAGATGCCCATTTTATTTATTTATTTTTAAGACTTGATTGTTTTTGATGTGGATCATTCTAAAAGTCTTTGTTGAATTTGTTATGATATTGCTTCTGTTTTATGTTTTGGTTTCTTGGCCTCATCTATATGGGATCTTAGTCCCTCCAACCAGGGATCGAACCCACATTCCCTGCATCAGAAGGTGAAGTCTTAAGCACCGGACCACCAGGGAAGTCCTCCAGATGTATTTTTTAAAACAGCAAGATATTGGGGTCTTCTCCATGTAGACTTTGGGGCTGCAGCTCTTGGCTACTAATCAATAGCAGAACCACCAGATGCACTGAAAGAGCCCACAAAAAAAGACTGATGTGAATGGAGTCATCCTGGCTTGAAGGGCAGTTCGGTACAAAGAAGGCCAGGGTCACCTGCCTATGGAGGTGTGGAGTGTGCTGTCTCAGGAGAACAAAGAGTTAGGAGACACTGCTACAGAAGGAGGGGCTTCCCTGGTGCCTCAGCAGTAAAGAATCCACCTGCAATGCAGGAGCTGCAGGAGACGTGGGTTCTGTCCCTGGGTCAGGAAGAGCACCCACCGGAGGAGGGCATGGCAATCGGCTCCAGTATTCTTGCCTGGAGAATCCCATGGACAGAGGAGTCTGGTGGGCTACAGTCCAAGGGGTTGCAAAGAGCTGGACATGACCAAAGTGACTTAGACGCACATTCCCTACACAATGAAGCATTGCCTGAGAAGGCGTATGTTTCTTAGGGAGAATGCCAGGTTGCATCCCAAGAACTCCCAGCCAGTAGGCTGTGAGCCACAAAAGGGTGGGGATAGTGTCTTTTTAGGCTCAGGGTCCGTGGTTTGAAGCACAGTGCCTGGCACATGGCAAGTGATCAGGAAAAGTCTGCTTTAATGAAAGAGATGACTGAGAAACAATGGGTAATGACCAGTACTCTCTGACCCAGGCCAGAGAGAAGTCAGATGGGCTTGACAGAGGCACAGTGGATTAGGTCAGCTGAGGATGGCCTGGAGTGAATGAACACTGTAATTCATCAGAACAGGAGTCTGGGAAATGTGCAGTTTCCTCTCGGGAGGTATAAAAAAGGATGGCTTCATAAAAGGAATGGTTTTCCTTCAGTTTCTGAGGGTGAGGATGGGACTTTTTCTAGCCTGAGGATTCCTTTATTCTTCCTTGTAATCATGATATTGCGGAGATATTACTTCACATTTGTGGGATACTTATTTTTTCAC